AGGGCTAGGTATAGGCTATCCTGTACCTATCAGATGGTTGATCTGTCTAAGGGGGTGGAGGGCTGGATGGGCTCTGTGGCATCTGGTGTGTGGGAATTGGAAGGGGCTGATTGGGGGGGGGAGAGGCACCTGCAAGTACCGGTCGGGCCTGCATCAGGTTGGGCAAGGTCTAATTAAGTGTTTCCAAACTGGCTTGTGCTATTGGGTGAAGCTGCTGAGTGCTGTAAAGCTCCCCGACAGCCTGGCTGGCTGATGGCCACCTGTGCAGAGAGTGAGTTGCAACCACCTGGTTGGACTTGTTTGGGTTTTGCATACTGGGTTTTGTGGGGTTTGTTTGGTTACTTTGCCTAGACTATGGATTTGGCAAGAGGAGGCATGGTACCACAGGTGGAAGATAGGCTCCACTGACCTTTTCGGTCTGTCACCACCTCTATAAATTTCCTATGTTTGTGTTAATTTGTTTGGAAGACAGGCAGTGGGTACAGGTCCTCCTCATTGGTATACTCTTCAGAGGCAACCGGCAAAGTGGGTTTATAGGGTCGATGGCATGGCATGCGGGTACAAGCGGTTGATATGTTGATTGTCTCCTTCCTGCCATTGTGTCGCCTGTAGGTTTAGTTTGGGTTTTATTCGTTTTCTACTATGGTGGAGGTTTTTGTGGGATGGTTTACAGACTGGGTAGTAGTGATTTTATGTTTGTTGGATGAGGAACCTGGTTGGGTCGGTCTTTTGCTCGGCTTCGGCTACGCTTAGTACTGGTTGGCTTCATACCAGAGGGGCTACGAACTTGGACCAGAGCTGGCACTGGGTTGTTTGATAGTCTTGTAATTAGTTTCCGTGTAGGCATGACTTGGGGATGGTAGGTGCGAGACCGTAGACTTAGTTAGCATAGGATTAGGGGTATACCGGTTAGCAGTATCCCTGTGCCGGAGGGGGCTCCTCGTATGCCCGTATTGGCAGTATGAGTTTAAATAAAATTAGATTGAATTCTATGTACTTTTCCTCCTTCATTCACCCCATGTCAGAACCTGATAGTTCGGTGTTCATCCAATCAGAGCTCTTGATTTTTATCTCATGTTAGACTTCAGGTCTTTAACTTCAATCACCTTTTTGGGACATCGTTGTTATACCTCTGCCTACTTTTGCTAGAAGACCATTTCTTCCTTTTACTTATCCTTTCAGTTATGTACTATGATCGCCTCTACACACTCACAATAGCTAATTAAGCCTCTGGCCCTTCTGCCATGTCTGCTTTATGTTCGTTGGTATGTCTCTCTGGTACCATCGAGCAGAACCTTGCACTAGAGGATAAAGTCTCTTGCCTTCGGCACCACATCTCCCTTCTTTCTTGATGATTTTATCGCACTGAGAAAGTCATATCTACCTTGTTGGCTGCCCTCGAGATTGAACTCGTTTTTAATTATGGTTATCTCATGACGCTGGTGGCTGAAGCTCTTATGCTTGTGGTCCCTTCACCTATCTCCTCGCTTGCTTCGATTACTACTGTACTCTCAGTTGTGTAGGGTTGGCTGGACCCTGAGAGTTCTCAGGTTTCAGTAGAAGATCTCGCTTATGGGAATATTTAGCCAGTGGTTATTCTGGCCCCACCTACATCTTTGCTTGTAGGTGGTGGTGTGGGTGGACGAGTTCCTGATTCGTTGAGTCTGTTTGCGGCGCTTACTCCTAGTAGAAGTTGGGTAGATCCAGGTGTTGTAATACCAGCTGTGGCTGTGTCACCCTCTTCGGGGAGGCATGTGCCTGAGTACTATATGGCTGAGCCCATGCCTGGTAGAGATAATGCCTATGGTGGTGTCCCCCCTATGGCAGTAGGTAGTGACAAGTATGGCCCATCTACTACTGTTACTAGACTTTCGTCCCAGGATTGGAAGATGAAGAAAAACAAGAAGTACAATATCAAACAAGACCAGACCTCACCTGTGCCACTTGTCCCAGACTCAGATGGGTCCTCACCTTCATCAGTTCACTAATGCAAACTGGCTGCTCCTGAGTCTACAGTGGGTTCACCATCCATGTAGGATACTTGGGAGTCAGAGTAGGAATTGGATTCCAAAGCATGTTCAGCCAACTATTGATGGCTTAGAGACCACCTCAATCTAGCTGTTTCTACCAAGCTTTTTGAACTGCCATGCCCATGTGGTACCGTCTTGATTTTCTACCACAGTTCGTACCTCCTCAGCTAGGGAGCCCTCGTCCTGTCAGATGGCTTTCGTTCCTGTTTATGTCCTTAGATTGTTCTGTCTTTCTTTTGTTTTTGTAATGGTGATAGGTGCCTGGTCGCATTCATGAGTGTCTCAGGATCATTGAGTGAGAGCATTTGAGGGGGTTTCTATTGTGGGGGAGGTTATTGCGGTCTTACTTTTATCTGGCGGTACTGGATTTTTGTATTTTGTAAAGGTTACTTGGCTGGCAGGCAGGCTGTGCCAAGGAGGATTTTCTTAACTGTCGCTGACTTTGTATCGAGGGTTCATATTGGAGCATAGTGCGGGCATGTTTGAAGTATGGTATCAGAGGTTTGGTTAGTTTGTAGTTTGTAGTAGCTGGGCTGTATTAACCTAGTGACCTAGTCTCGCAGCTCGTCGTATACCCGTGTTGGCAGTATGAATTTAAATAAAATTAGATTGAATTCTAAGTACTTTTACTGCTTATTACTTTAACAAATATAAAATACCTTTTCGCTCTTTACTATTATTACGACTTTTATTACTATTACCATAAGCAGGCGCTATAAGAGATAGAGTTAGAGAATACTTACGATAGACAATACTGATAGAAGACAAAGGTCTTGTACTATAGGTAACAAAGGCATAGGCCTCAGAGCTGTTGTACGGCAGAAGAAGAAAAGAAGTATTTTTTCTCGTCACTAAATACTAACTACCCGAAGGGGGATCGTTAGAGCTACCTTTATGCTGTACCATATTTATGTTACCTATTACTAATTGGACTTTTAGATGGCAAATTTATCATTGTATCTCTTCTATCTCTTTAATTCCCTGGTTTACTGTAAGAGTATAGTTGCTGACAATTTTCTTTAGTCTTCATCCTTGCCAATTATTTGTCTGCAGGGTTGCATGTAGTATAAGTTCCCGTCCCCTGATTCCAAATCTATATTCTGGTAGATGAAGACTATTGATTTACTCATCTGAAAAGGTACTCAAGGGCTCAGGTGATGCTGAAGTGGGATTAGAGTCTTGATAACTTGGTGCTATAACTACTGGAGAAATTATAATTTATGAAGTAAGGCTTGGATTTTTACAAGTACAATATTTCTGTTAATAGAAACAAGGCCTGTATTGCAGAATCCACATTAAAAGTTACTCATTATGAAGGAGGCTTGGCCCCCTACTAGGAGAGATTTATAAAAATCATGTTTCAATACTACCTATTCGTATTTTTCAAAGCAGCCTGTTCGTTTCCCGTAATTCTAGTATTTGTAGGGACCAAAAATGCAAATATTGTGTGACTACAATTGAAGAATAGTATGTGGACACAGGTAAATGGGGAATAACATTCTATGGAATACAGATGTCAAGAAATTTTATATTAACAGTGCTGCTATATCTATCAAAAAAAAAGTCGATAATTTCTCTTGCTTTCCAGACAGTGATGCTGTCTTTTCTAAACTTTCATCTTAAATACTTCATTAACAATTTTTTCATTGGTCTAGCCATTATGTAAGCACCTAAAAGAATGTCCTCTGACATGTCTCTTTCTTTTTAAAATTATTCTGCCATATACTCTTCCACTTTAAATCTGATTGTAGGCTTTGGTGTCATTCCCTCTGTGCAAATACCTTCAGTAATCCTAGCAAATTTACTTGTACCACCTGTATTATCATTAGTACTACTCTATCTATTTTTACAAATATAATAATATACAGCAATAAAACCCTATTTTCTATACAATATTTTAATTCTCCATTTTTACTAGAATTTCTAACAACTTCTAATATCCATTCAGAATAACCTAAGCCTAACAATAATCCAACTTCATCAAGCTTATAGGAGTCTTATGTTATGACTTTATACTCTTGTATGATCGATTCTAACTATTTAAATTTAATTAACACATATTTAGGATAAAAAACTGACTATGAAATAAAAAGAAAAAGAAGTACCTTGTCAAAGAAATGATTCATTAATTGCTGATTATTTTCCCAAATATTGTAAACAAAATCCAATTACCTACTGAAGTGGAATCTCATATCAGGATGTCTTTTTTTATAATCCTCCTTCTCTCACTTTTCAAGTTTCTCATATGGAATTCTTCTTTGTACCTCTGAGGTGGCAATTTTCTGTAATTGCCATACAGTTGGAGGAAACCCTAGCCACCAGTGAAAGAAGCACTGGTCTATCACCACTTGCTCTTCCTCTGGCAAGAGCCTTTACCTTCTTTGGCCCTCCTCCTTACAATTCTTCCTTCCCTTCTGGCAATGCATAACTGTTCTATGAGTTGCTCTTACCATCCCAGCAGCAACACTAAGGTTTGGGGTAGTTCTAACTGCAACCATCTCAATGGCCATTTATTCTTGAACTTGGACTGGAATTATGGAGTTTTTCGATCCCATAATCAGTACATATCATATGAAGTATAAGCAGCAATTTTGTTGATTGTGTCACTTGTACTTGAGATGATATGACAAAAATCACTTTACTAACTATTTTGACTTGACTAACCATTCTTGAACCCCAAGGTATGCCGCGCCTCGCTGCGGGTGCCGTTTCGATGAGGGGTCTGGCGGTTTATTCATAAACAAATGATGGTAGCGGGGTTGCCGTTGCCGCGCCGGACGAAAAGTTTTTGTCCCCGTACTTTACATCCACCTCCAAACGCCTGAATCTTGGCGTACAAGGGTCCTGGATGCATCCAGCACAAAGTCTCTAGTAGATTTACTGGATTTTGCACTACCCCCCCTGTCACTGCGCCTACCAGGGGTTCTTCTTCCACACCACGTGAGGTTGAAAATAATAACACTTCTGGGAAAAACTTCTCGCCATCCAGTGAAGGAGAAACATCGATAGTTGAAACCCATTTTTACCTTTTCCACGACTCCTGCAACTAATGCAAAGTGGGTGTTGCGGCGGCACCATTCTCATGGAATGTTTTTTTTTTCTGTTGAGCTCACGTCCATCTTAGAGTCACCCTTCACTGGAGGGACGAACAGGGCATCCCCCAACCCTTACTCCTCGCTACCGACAAGGGATAGTGCAACCTGATGATGCCCCTGGCGGTCAAACTTTGCCTTTTCGGTCCCAGCAAATCATGGCTGGAGAACCCGTTCAACCTATCTTTCTCTTTACCAATTGTGCTTCTCTTCCAGCTCTTCCTCTGCCTGTTCTCTCTTCTCCTTTCTCTAATTGTTTCTTAACCCCCTTCGACTCGATCTAGCGTGCGTTTGCCCCCCTCCGCTGGGCCGACTACTCCCCTCAAGCCTCTTTCCTTCCTCACCTTTTTGTCAACTCCACTCACTCCTTTTTTTTCTTTTTTTGCTAATTTCTCATCCATTCAACTCCCCCTTCCTTTCCTTCCTACGTCCTTCCTGTTTTTCGCAGGGATATTGTTCGCTCAAGTGGTGTTGCTCACGGAAAGGATTTTTGAAGGTTGTTCTTCGATGCTACATTCACTAGGCCCCTTGCAAATTCTCGGATAAACTAATTTTCCTCCTAGAGCCCCATTTCGCCCCAAAACAATGGCAGCTGTGCCACCGCAACCCATCCAAGATTCTTTGCTCGGGGTCGGGCAGCAGCCGACACTCACTTCCAATATCAAGGAGAATTTCGAAAAGTTTGCATCAATTTTTGAACCGACTACTGGTGAGAGGCTGATGACCAGAGAGAATTTCATTGATGCGATCGCGCCCCCGGATCAGGATTTCCACAAAATTAAACGAGATCAGTACTCGATCCTCTTCGATATCGCGGATAGGCGCAGACAAGGTGTACTGAACATTCAAGACTGGGCAACGTTTGAAGACCTTCTTGCCAAACCTGATGCGGAATATCAAATCGCCTTCAGACTTTTCGATGTGGAGGGAAGTGGTTGTGTGAAATACGATGACTTTGTGACGTTCTATACCCGCAGCAAAGGGCCCAGTAGCCTACCTTTTGATTGGACCAGCGAGTGGGTTGCACTTTACCTTGGGGGTAAGAATGGCCGAAGGAACCTTTCATATCCTCAGTTCTCACAGATGCTTCGAGGACTTCATGATGAGCGTGTCAGGCAAGCCTTTTGCCTCTATGACAAGAACAAGTCCGGCTCTATTGAGCCCGAGGACTTCGAACGAATTATTCTTGAGACTTCGAAACACAAACTCTCCGATCATCTTCTCAACAATCTCCACACATTATCCCACATATCGGCTGGGTCAAAAATAAGCTATGCAAACGTACGCGCCTTCCAGAACGTCGTTCGAGAAATGAATATGATCGATCTTATCATTCGGAATGCTACTGCCAAATCAACCGATGGCAAGATTACCAGGACCGATTTCATGAATGAGGCAGCAAAGATCACTCGTTTTGATCTCTTCTCTCCTATGGAGACAGACATTCTCTTCCATTTTGCAGGACTCAATAATACCTCCGGGAAGCTTTCTATTACCGATTTCTCCCGTGTGCTCGACTCCTCATGGCGAGAGCCCCAGTTCCACCCACCACCTATTGTTACCGGATCTCTTCCTACAATTCCTTTCATATTACACAAACACGGGATTTTTGGCCAAGCCTTGGATGCAGCATTCAATTTCGCGCTGGGATCAGTTGCTGGTGCATTTGGGGCCACGATTGTATACCCTATCGACTTGGTGAAGACTAGAATGCAGAATCAGCGCAGCAAAGTTGTCGGAGAGCTCATGTATAAGAACAGTATTGACTGCGCCAAGAAGGTTATTCGCAACGAAGGCTTCCGCGGCCTTTATAGTGGCTTGGGTCCACAACTTATTGTGAGCTGGCCTTGATTCCCCTTTGCTCCAATAGTCTCGTTCTAATGTTTGTGGTGTTAGGGTGTTGCGCCCGAAAAAGCCATCAAACTTACGGTTAATGACTTGGTAAGAGCGAAAGCCAAGAGCAAAGACGGAGAGATCTCCTTACCTTGGGAGCTCATCGCCGGTGGGTCTGCTGGGGCTTGCCAAGTTGTGTTCACCAAGTAAGCTACCACTGGTCCTCTGCTCCTCACTCCCTCACCGCGTACTATGCTGATAGAATACAAGCCCTCTCGAAATTGTCAAGATTCGCCTGCAAGTACAAGGGGAGGTGGCCAAAAATGTTGAAGGTGTCCCCCGGCGCTCGGCCTTATGGATAGTGAAAAATCTCGGTCTTGTAGGCTTATACAAGGGAGCGAGTGCATGTTTGCTCCGTGATGTTCCATTTTCGGCAATCTACTTCCCAACCTATTCTCATTTGAAGAAAGATTGGTTTGGCGAGAGTTTGACCAAAAAGCTTGGTATTCTACAACTTCTCATATCCGGTGCCATGGCAGGTATGCCAGCTGCTTACCTCACAACTCCTTGTGATGTAATCAAAACCAGGCTACAAGTGGAGGCAAGGAAGGGACAGACTCACTATCGTGGATTAATCCATTGCGCCTCAACTATCTGGCGTGAGGAGGGATTCAAAGCTTTCTACAAAGGTGGTCCGGCGAGAATTCTTAGAAGCTCTCCACAATTTGGATGCACCCTCGCCGCATATGAGGTTCTCCAAACCCTTTTCCATGCGCAAGGAAACAATACTACTGAATCCAAGGGTTCCGCCGCTGGCATTCAATCCACAACTATGCCATCCCGGGTAATTGCGCCACTTCCGTACTTGCGCAGCAGGAATGCTCTCAAGTTGATCTTGGTTTACCCCCCCCCTCCGATTCTTCATCTCATCAGGCTTTCCCTACTTACACTCTTTGCCCAGGATATTGATGAGAACATTGGCCGCCCGAAGCATCCTCGCACAAAAGAGGCATTCGCTTCGATACCTGGTCTTGCAAGGGCCCAACAGCGCTAGACACCAAGTGTTGCAGATAACGAAAAAGGTTCGGAGTTTGTCTTTGATTGCAAGAAAGAAAATACCTCCTAGACTTTTAGATTAGATTTCCGAACACCTAGAATTAGCTTTATTTCTAGACAAGTACTCATACAGCGCTTTAATTACCTGTTTTACATTTTTTCCTGTCTCCCTCATCGGAGTACCACCGTTTTTGTTACATAGATGGAGCTCGAGACACTAGACCTCTGTAACCCGTGAGCACTCGGTGATATTCGCACAGGGCATCCGTCAGTTTGAATGAAGGTTGTGATACGCGGTTGAAAGGCACGTAAGTCAGTCCATTCTCCGCCCGATATTTCGGAGCACTCTACGGTAGCTTCGCTTCTGTAGCCCCTAACGTAAATTTACCCAACAATACTAAAGAAGTGTCTAGTTGTTCAGGTTTTTTCAAACCTGCATACTCACAGACTATCCTTGCTACTTTGAACAACGCTAAGCGACCTCCAAAGTAGGTGGCACTTCAAAGGAGTGCCAACCAAATCAACTATAGAAACAGCTCAATGGAAGATTTATTTAACATGAGCAGAAAACTTGATAACAAAGTACTCAATCTCATGTCCTAGAAACTCCTTCAGCCTCAATTGCTTATTTGTATCCTTTACTGCTTTTCTCATCAGTTTAGAATTTTCTTTCTGCTGCTTTTTGACCTTATTATCTACAATTGTTTGTGTGTTAAATATGAACTGCATAGTCATCTCAAGATCCTTTTCAATAGTGTCCTGCTCCCGTTGCTGGACAATATCCCTTGTTTAAGATATGCACAACACACCACCATTTTGTATTGATCACTAACTGCACCCTTATCTTATCATACTACTCATACAAGCTCCATTGCCTTGGTGTTTTCAAGTTCCTGGAGTAACAGAGCTCCAGTTTAGACCAGGACTTGGTTTTCATAATATAGAGCTGTAAACTGCTGTTTGGTGAGTGAGAGTGCTATTCAAGAGCAGAGGTGAGGCAATATATATTATTTAAGTAATATTACTGTTTTGAACAAATTTGATATATGAATAACTTATAGAACGGGTAATGGGATAAAAGGAAAAGGACTGGATATAACAGGAGGTCCCTCTAGGAAGATGAATCCTGAGGTTGCAACTACACCAAAATGAATTCTTCTGCTAACAAATATAACAAAATTTCAACATCTCTGCAGTAGAGTTTGAAGAAACAAAATAGTAAAAGATAATAGTGTCAAGCCACAGCATTAGTCAATTAAGTCCTGATCTCAAAGGTAGTTGATTGCCAGAGAAGAGGAGAACTTGCATATACTTAAGTAGATTTTATATATTGCCAGCTGCTCCGTATCACTACATCATGCTCTGTCTTCTTTATAACCACAGTCAAAGAAAAGCCACACTATATTTTGTACCAAGACTCACTCTCATTGGCTAAAAACCTTTTCATACTACCTTGCCTTTATTCTTCACTTAGGGTTAAAGACTTTACTCATTCCACTATAGCACCTGGGAAAATGAAAGAAAAAGGGACAGGCAGTAGTGCCACCTCCCTTTCCCAGAGAACACAAACCCCACCCATAACTTGGCCTACTACTTTTGGCAGCTAGTCCACCTTATCACCCATCTTTGGGACCCCCATAGCCACCAGGCCCCTCTACTCAAAAGTGACAGCATAGCGATACTAACTCATTCCACCTAGTAATTCCAGATTTTTATATAAAAGAAACAGCTCCCAATACCAACTTCTTCCAACATCTTTTCATTAAGATAACAGTAGATTTCAACTTCCAGGAACTAGACCCCCAACCTTACATGATGATCTTTTGCAAGATGCTGTAACACATACACGACAACAGCAGGAAAGAGGTTAATGGGCTCTAAGAGTAACTCAATAGTTTCACAAATGGATTGAGATGCTACAACGACATTGCCTGCTCAATATCAGCAAAAGTAACTGTACCCAAAACTAAGTTTGTCCTGGCGGCCCCTCTACCAGCTAAGCCAAAGTCTACCTCTGCTCCTCTACTCCAACCAGCTCCCTCCTCTGCTCATCCCCGCGTCCTAGTTGTGCCTCTACTTGGGCGACTATTGTCAAGAAGAGGAAGAAGAAGGTTCCCAAATCCAAGCCCAACTCGGTAGCAAAACCACCACCCCCTGCCACAGTCCTGACACCCACGAAGTGTGTTACTAGGAGGGAGAGGAAGCTTATCATCAAGTCAGATGGTACTCCTCTCCCTGTCACTATAATAGAACTTTACGATAGTATGAACAAAGCTCTCTCAGCTACCCTAATCTAAACCATCTCCATTATTTGCAACAATATCTACATCACTACCATGGCAAATGTCAATACCATGACCCTGGACAAGGTCTTTGCCTTTATCCACTTTATCCCAGGTACCACATCTGTCCACTTGAACATGCCTCTTACTCACATTATTGTACACAGCCTACCTACTTCTCAGCAACTAGCAATTAATGTTTTGCAACTCATCTCTTTCAACCTTGGGCTTGTACTTACTCATCAATTCAGGTGGCTCATCTCTGGTGATTCAAGGTGCAACAAACCTGCCTCCGCTATTGTTATCACAATTACTGGTCACAAAGTACTCCTCTTTGTTGACAAGAGAGTGGCTGCTTTCTCCTATACCTACAGAACTGAATGCAGGCTACACTTCAACTCCTAAATCCAATGCTCTAACTGGTAGGGCTTTAGATACCACAACAATACTGAACCTAACTACCTGCCGGTAGGTAGTATACACTTCCTCACTCTACAGAAGACTATGCCTGCCATCCTACTACCTGCCATCCCTGTGGCTGCCCCTGTACCTACTCAATCATGAAGTGCATCAACTGTGATGGCTCTGCTAAGTCTCAATTTCCTGCCTGCTGCGCCTGCCCCCAATATTATAAAGTACTTTCAGTATCTGTACAGGATAATGGTATAGTACATCTAGTCAACACGTAGACCTAGTACCTTCCCCACTCCCTCTCTACACAGCCCTTGAGTTGCTCTCTCTCCTACAACAGTGCTCAGAGTTTGCTAACTCTGGTGACTACATCTTTCCTCTCCACGCCAAAGTAATGGAGTACTATTGCTTAGTATACTTCTTTTTTGTATGAGTCACGGCATAGTTTCTCATAGGTAATTATCTCTCAAGATAGTAGAAGAAGAGAATTAGGAGACATTGGATTTGTTTTCTTCTTTGGAATTAAGGTTTTGTTAACACTATAACTGAAGTTACATGCGAGTTCTTGTACAGTCATGTCCGGAATGTTTTCGTACTCTTGTATGGCAACCACACAACCACAACCCACAACCATAAAAATTTCAAAAAAATGTAAAGAATTCAATTAAAGAAAACATGTGTAATAATACCTCCTTGGATAGTTAGTTCTTGGCGACAGGGAACGATACTTCTCGTTTCTGTCTTCCTGTTCCTTCGTCTTATGATAGCTCTCGGCCTCTGCCTACGTTACCGATAGTACAAGACCCTTGTCTTCTATCGGGAACGCCTATTGTAAGCTTTCTCTAACTCTTCTTTGTAAAGCGCTTTCCTTGGCATAACGATAATGTTGCATTAAAGATAAAGATCATAAAGGTATTTTATATTCGTTAAAGCAATAAGTAGGAAAAGTACTTAGAAGTCAATCTAATTTTATTTAAACTGGTACCGCCAACACTGGCATACGACGAGCCCCTGCCAGCACAGGGATACCCCTAACTGGTATACAACTAATCCTAAGCTAACTAAGTCTACGGCCCCATACCTGCCATCCCCGAGTCATGCCCGCAAGAAGACTAATTACAAGACCATCAAACAACCCAGCGCCCGCTCCGGTCCAAGTCTGTAGCCCCTCTGGTATAAAGCCAACCAGTACCAAGCATGGCCGAAGCCAAGTAAGAGACCGACCCAACCAGATTCCTCGTCCAACAAAATATAAAATCACTACCACCCGGTCCTAAATACCGTCACGCAAAACCTCAACAATAATAAAAAACCAACAAAACCAAAACAAATATAAACTACAGGCAACGCAATGGCAGAGAGGAGGTGACCAACATGTCCACCTCTCGCATCCGCATGCCCGGCCGTCGACCCTATGAACCCACTTTGCCAAGTGCCTCCGAAGAACGTAATGGTAAGGAGGACCTGTACCCACTGCCTGTCCCCCAAAAAACAAAACTCATAAGCAAAGGAAATACATAGAGGTGGTGACAGACCGAAGCGGTCAGTGGGGCCTATCTCCCACCCTTGGTGCCTTGCCACCACCAGCCATGCCCATTGCCAAACCAAAGAAACCAAACAAACTTCCACAATACCCAGCACACAGAACTCAAACTAGTCCAACCAGATGGTCGCAACCCACTATCCGCACAGTTGGCCATCAGCCAACTGGTCCATCGCGGAGCCTTACAGCACTCACCAGCTTCGCCCAACAGCCCAAGCCAGACTGGAAACACTTAATTAGACCTCGTCCAACCTGACGTAGGCCCAACCGGTGCTCGCAGGTGCCTCTCCCCCCCAATCAGCCCCCCCCAAGCCCCACACACCAGACGCCACAGAGTCCATCCAGCCCCCTCAGCCCCTCAAACAGATCAACCATCTGACAGCCACAGGACAGTGTACATCAAGCCCCGCCAGGCAGCCATTGGTCTTGGCCACACAAATAGAGCCCCAATCCTCAGCACGGTATAGTCCAGGAGGGCCCACCAGCTACAGCCGGGAGCCACAAGGGAGGCAGCACCAATACCCGAAGGCATCAGCACCAGCTACACTATCCAACCCAGCTGAACCGAAATCCAACCGAGCCGGGAAAGAGTAAGCAGAGCCAGCCAAAGCCAGCCCCACAGGTCCAGTAACAGGCACAGACTGAACAACAGGCATGAGGTATCCCCAGCTGACGCGACAAGAAGTGGAAGGGCAAATGAACAGAAGCAGACAAACAGAAAGTACGCCCTACTTGCAATGGGAGAAGCCACCAACCACAGACCACAACCGAACCACCCAAACGCACAGACAACGCGAGTGTCTGGCAGTGAATCGTCCCACACCACCCCAGGTAGCAAGGAAAAACCACACTAGGGGGTAAGATTTCTCAGGGTCAAAGCCATCTCCACCATAGC